CTCTGTAAACCGCTTAGAGAGGGCTGAAAGCCCTATGAAGCGGTATATAAGTCTACTGCTATTGCTAAGTCTACTGCTATCTTGTAAACCAGGCACCCAATGATTACTGCAATAAACATAGTCCTTGTCCTTGGTGTTATGACCTGTATTTTTGAATTGTCTATGAGAAGATATACTGTATTTTTTGAAGTGGATCACTTACTGGACAAGATAGTGGGAAACAAAAAAAAATTAATGCCAGCAACATTTGGAAAATAATGTGGAGCATAGTAGTTTTTCAAACAATGCTAGCAGTTGGAAGAATTAAGTGTACTGAGTTGCAGACATATGCGTTAGTACATACAGCACCACCAGCACTATTGCCTTTTAGGCAGACTTAAAAACTTGACTCTTTCTATAGGTACTGAGTCAGGAAGATACATAAATCTGCTAAATGTTTTGTGTGTGTGTGAGAGAGAGAATGCTTAAGTTGTCCAGAGTCACTTGTCAAGTAGGTAGACTTAGAAATACAATTAATAAATGGAATTGATGAAAAATTGATATAATAGAAGGATATAATAGAAACCTGGTAGAATGGAGACAATCAATGGAATGCTGTCAGTGCTGGATATAAATTTTATAGAAAGGGTAAGGAAGAATGCATTGGTGAAATCTTGCTTTTAGATCAAGAAGAGTTTAAAAGCTAACATACTAATATACAAATACTACATTAATCTAATTATCCAGTCCAATATTTAAGACAGATGGAAGAAAAAACTAAATATTACTGGAATTGACAACCTTAATTCAAGAAGAGACTGAAATGATATAGGGCTCCTGCTTGAGCAAGGGGTTGGGCTAGAATACCTCCAAGGTCCCTTCCAACTCTGTTATTCTCTTCTCTTCTAAACAAAGATATTTGTTCTATCTCTATTTTCCTTAGAAGTTTATTTCAAGCACTGTTCTTTATATAAAGTCACTTATGTATTCCACTGGTATACAGTATGATCCTTTTAAAAGAAATGCTATTTAGCAGCATTTGGCCCTGGAAATTAGATCCCTATTTTAGGCTCCCCTCCTAGAGTTGCAGCTGATTTGGGTGACCTTGGGCAGTGAAGAGAAATGTCTACGTATTTCTATTCAGCAATTCTGCTTCCTAAATTATAACTGCTGACTTGTTTTAGCAAATATTTTCTATTCCCATTGTCAGCAGTTTAGGGTCCATTGTAAGCAAAGAATCAAACTGAGAGTTTGTTGCCCAGTGTGCAATCACAAACAACAAAAAAGGAAATGTTAAGAACATCAGCTGTTTCACAGAACTAAGATATATGCTGCCTAGAGTTGTTTTTCAGAATGAGATCAGTGGCATACAAATTTAATAAATAAATAAATAAATAAAATGATTGTGTCATGCAGGTTGTGTTTTGCCTATAAAGATGACCCTGTGGAAATAATTCCAGGGAACAAAGAAAAAAGTACTTTTATAGATGGAAGGTAGAGGATGACATAACATGAAATTGAAGGAAAAAAGCAAGACTGTAAAATTCCACCATACTGTAGGGTACTGGTTAGTGCTAAAATAAAACTGGGATGGTTCACGTCCATGCATATCAGAAGTGGGTTTCTACCAGCTCGCACCGGTTCAGGCGAACCAGTAGTGGTGATTTGGCCTGGATTGCAGAACTGGCAGTGACCCAGGCTGGCCATGCCCCCAAACTGGTTCCCTGTTCTCTGCTGCCATTGTTGGCCTGTTTTTTAGTAGCTTTTCATGTTCTTCATGCTTGCGCAGAACAATTTACAGTGAACTGTGCATGTGTGCTATGTGAAGTTAACCAGTACCAACGCTGGTAGAAACCCACCCCGATGCATATTTATAAAACTCACAGAGAGAATTTGTCAATATCTCTTAGCCCAATCTACTTCACTTAGCAGGTAGGCAACAAAGTGGAATATAACTATAACAAATTAGCAATAACTGTGGCATTTAAGCTGTGGGCCAATTAATGATTCATATCTCACATCAGCTATAAAATTGGTGTGTTTTGCAACTACAAACCATTCCTGCTTTATTATTTACAACAATATATGAACCAACCAGGGACATGGTGGCTCAGTGGCTAAGACGCTGAGCTTGTTGATCAGAAAGATTGGCAGTTCAGTGGTTCAAATCCCTAGTGCTACGTAATAGAAAGAGTTTCTGTTACTTGTCCCAGCTTCTGCCAACCTAGAAGTTCAAAAGCATGTAAAAATGCAAGTAGAAGAAATAGGGGCCACTTTGGTGGGAAGGAAACAGTGTTCCGTTCGCCTTCGGCATTTAGTCATGCCAGCCACATGACCACGGAGACATCTTTGGACAGCACTGGCTCTTTGGCTTTGAAATGGAGATGAGCACCGCCCCCTAGAGTCGGGAACGACTAGCACAGATGTGTGAGGGCAACCTTTACCTTTTTATGAACCAACCAATGCATGATTTTTGTACCACATGGTAATCATAACACTAGTTTTAGAAGCATCATATTCTACTCTTGTCATGCAGAACTATTTCACTGACTTTTCGATTTGCTTAAATCATAATTCTTTGAAAACTACACTTGCTACAAAACTTGTGGATTATGTTATATAGGTACAGGGAATTTATAAATACTCTTTCAGCATCAGATTTAATGCCCAACTGCAGTCTTAAAATCTGCCGATCTTTATGAATAAAAGCTGGGGCAAATAAAGAACAGTGGCAGAACACTGACTCAGCCTGAAGACCTCCTGCTTTTCTAGTTACACTAATTAAGTCTAATTGAGCCGACAGCAAAAGATCTGAGGCTGTAAGGAAGGCCTGCTGGGACAAAGAAGCGATGCCTGCTTTCCCTTTGAAAATACAAAAGGTGACAGTTTTATCTGAAGCGAGCTTTGGTATAGATTGGAGCATCTTAAGTACGATTCCCAGACTTGTCTGAAATGGTATAAGGCAGTGATGGCGAACCTTTCAGCACCGAGTGCCCAAACAGGAACGCATTTGCATGCTCCAAAGTACCAGAAACCCAAAGACCAGCTGGCTGTTTTTTGGCTAGTTTTGGCTGTTTTTCGGGCTGTTTTCAGGACATTTTTTGAGCCATTTTCAGACCATTTTTCGGCATTCCGGCACCCATGAAGATCAGCTGGACGGCGCGCATGTGCATGGTGGAAACCAGAAGCGCAGCTGGCAATGGTGCACATGCCCACGGAGAGGGCTCTGCATGGCACCTCTGGCACGCGTGCCATAAGTTCACCATCATGGGCATAGGGTTTCCTGCTTGAGCAGGGGGTTGGACTAGAGGACCTCCAAGGTCTCTTTCAGCAATATTCTAATTGATTGATCTTAGTAGTCCTGGACAAAATAAAGAACGAAATGAAAACCTTGAACGTTTTTGAATTTATAACCTGTTAATTCAAGCTAATAAATGTATACTAGACTGTTATACTATACTACTGCTATAACAGTTACTTGTCTAACTGTTAAAATACAGATACTGTTTTTATATACAGTCTCTCTGAATGCTCCCCAAGTACTGTTATCTATGTGTTTCTGGGAGGGATGAATGAAGAATGCCAGGAGTGTACTCAAGGGTATATGCTTATCATGCCAACCTTCATGTTCAGCCCAGTTGCCCAACTAAAGCAAGCTGGCATTTATATTGAATGGCAGCAATATAGAAAGATATTAGAAGCTGATGGCTGTACCACATCTCAGCGAATGTTGTGTGCTGATTGCTGAGAAGAGAAGGCAAGAAAGACAAAGATCTCAGGAAAGAACCTAACAAAGAATTTTAGAGAGCTGTTAAAAAAACACACCAAGAAGCAGTATAATAACATTTGTAAAGACACTGAGGGAGAAACAGACAGAAAACAAGAAAGGTCTTCCAAGATATTCTCTGTTTATAAAAACCTTTTTACTGGAAAATGAAGTGAGATCATCCCTCTGATCTTTACCAAGTTAAAAAAAAACTACAGAAATTGATGGAATTTTTGATTGATGGAACCTATAGAAATATGTGGAATACATAACAGGAAAGCAGAGTGGAAGGAAAATGCATAAGTTTTAAAAAATTGGAGGAAGAAACATCAATAACTACCGGTAGCACTATGCTGGTAACATTACCCGAATAGCTGAAAGTGCAAACGATCTGCAACTTCTAGTATTGTAATGAAAGATGGAGCACTGCAAAAAATAGGACTATGAAATCATGGTTAAAATGTGACCTGAAAAGCAGCTCAATTTATATCCATATTACTATTAGAAATTTATATTGATATCATCTTCTAAACTTTGCTAACTCATTAATTCCTAACATGCGTTATGGGACCATAGTTTTGATTTGGTCCTGCCCTTCTAAAAGAATGTTAGGTTAGAGATGCTCTACCAAAACCAGATAATTTGTTCTCTAGCCCAGAAATTATATATTGCCAGCAGCAATTCACAGCCTGTAGCAAAGATCCCCCATCCCACCCCGAGATACTGGGAATGAAACCTGGACTTGTTTTATTTATTACGTTACTTCGTTTAGATTTTGTTTTCCCATTCCCATTCCACCCCAATGGAAACCAGACATCATATCTGGAATCTCCAGAGTTTTCTAATCCAGTTGTTGACAGCCTGGAAAATAGCTGTACCATCTGTTCCCAGGCCCTGTCCAGTTTGCCTGGCAAGCATATGCTCTGCTCAGAGATATGGGTTCTACATACTGCAAATCAAGATCTTTCTATCTTTGAAATGCTGTATTGCTCCTACTATTTATCTTATTATTAATCACCAAGTACTCCTATCATTATCTCCTATTATTTTCTTTCTGCCAGCTCCAGTGGACACTAAGTAGAGCTAGGGTTGGGTAGCTTTAAAGAGTGCTTCAGGGAGGCAGGGTGTATCTTGCTATGCCCTTTGCCCAATCCCTGAGCCGGGGAAGGAGGGTCTCATGAATATGAAAAGCATCTGTACTCTCTCTCTCTCTCCCCTCCTTTTCTTTTCTCCTCCTCCTAGTCTCCTGGCCATGAAGGCAGCAGCAGAGCAGCTAAACGCAGGATGCTGAAAACCCACAGGAAGCTTTTCCCAGGGACCCTAAAGATGCTACCTAGCTAAAGAGATAGCAGGCATTCAGGTAAGGCAGAATTTGAAATAACCTTGGGTATTTGTGGCTCATCGAGAGGAGGAACCTGGGAAAACCTGCCTTTGGAGGGACTGGTCAGCGATTGCTTCGCTCCAGGCTCAGTTAGGATTTCTAGACAATGGATGTATGCTATGCTTCGCTTATCTGGAGGATGCAGGATTAGTGAAGCAGATGGGCCTTGCTGAGGGATGCAGGAATTCTTTTCTCTCTCCCTTTCCACATCCCATCCCATCTCATCCCGCCTGGATTCCTCAAGAATGGGGGAAAAAGGGCAGCCGTAGCCCAGCCTCCTTCTTTGTATTACTGGAGGAAATGGATGTTGCTGCTAGCTAGCTGCTACTGCTTTGGTCTGCCTTTTGTTTGAGGATTTGTGTCTCTCTTCTCCCTCCACAGCAACAACCCCCCCCTTGCAAAGATCAAATTTCCTTCAGTTCATGGCTGATTTCATTCATTTCTCTCCCCTCTTGGCTCTGGGTCACCAGTCTTGTGGAATTTGGAGGCTAAATAGGGTTGCATGGCTTCGTAACACCAGCATACAAATGAATACTGATGTTTGAATCATTTCTTTAAAAAAAACAACACAACTTTTTGTTTGATGCGAAAGTTAAATAGAACTGCTGCTCTTCCTTTGCTGATGGATAAGCATTGTCCTCTTTTGCTTGAATGGGGGAAGGAGAATGAAAAGAACTATTCTTTTTCTTGTTTATCAATGTCATGGGAATGATTGAATCAGAGATCTGGAGGAGGCAGGGGAGGGAGCCAACTTTGTGCCATTTGTTGTGCAGTGCTTGCTTGGGTTACTACCTCCCCCCCCACTCCACCCAATGAAATGCAACATAAGGTGGCATTCTGCACAGTGACTTGTGCCGGGAGACACATGTGGCATTCTCTGGAGATGTGATGCCTAGGAACAAAAAGTTACTCTTTGTTTTATGCCTAGGAACAAAAAGTTACTCTTTGTTTTTTTTGTAATCTGTATATTAGAGATCAAATGGACATTTGACTACCATTTACCTAAGAAAAGGTGTTGCCAGATTTTAGAAAAGAAAAGAGAATGGGAAAACATAACCATCAACCTCACTGCCTTTCTCACGGGCTGCATTTAGCTTAGTTGGACCCAAAGTTATGCAAAACTGCTCTATAGTCCCCCCCACCTTTCTACCTTCCTCTCTAAATCATGTTCTATAATTCATATCTATATATTTATTGATCACATTGAGATCCCGCCTTTTATCTTATTCAGCAAAGGATGATTAGGCAAATATGACTGAAAATGAGGGTGAATTCACCCTCTTCCTCTTTTGAAAGAAAAGCTGCTTCTTGAAGGGCAGACCTGAAATTCATGTAAGATTCTTCATGCTAATTCCCCCTGGCATCTTCAGGTAAGACTGAATGTGGTTTTAGGATGAATCTCCCAGCTGAAGCTCTCTCCACATGTGCTCGTCTGCAACTAATGCTGTCTGAAGCTGATGGGAGTTTTAATGCAACACATGTGGAAAACATAAAGTTGGAGAAGGCACATAACTAATACTGATTGGACCAGTGATCCAATAAAGCAGCTTATTATTTTGGGTTTTTTTTTTAAATTAAGAAAAAAGGTAGCATAAAATAATTTAGTACGATTCTCCTCATCTCCATTCTAGCCGAGAGTTGATGGCTTATTCACTGTTGGTACCTTTCATTCAATACTTTGTCAGTGATACCTTCGTTCAACTGTTTAGAAGAATTTAACAGATAATTCATATAATGTGCTTCTCCAGAATCTGGTATTATAACATAAATCCTGTGTCCTCCTTGAGTCTAGTGATTCACTGATTAATTAATAAGCATTGGATTCTCTACCACCTCATTTTTGCTCTAAACATCATTAAAACATTAAATAGAGCAAGTAAGCATGAAAATAATCTGTTTTCTGTGCGGAAAGATAGCTGTGCAACATTGAATAGCTAATTCATATAATAGTTGCATTACATATTTATCTTTGTCAAGTTAGAAACAGCTAAAACAGAGAGCCAATGTGGTACAGTGGTTTCATTAAGGCAGTGTTTCCCAACCTTGGCAACTTGAAGATGTCCGGACTTCAACTCCCAGAATTCCCCAGCCAGCGAATTGCCAAGGTTGGGAAACACTGCATTAAGGTACCAGGCTAGAAACCAGGAGACCGTGAATTCTAGTACCACCTTCAACACAAATCCAGCGGAATGATCTTGGCCAGTCACTTTCTCTCAGCTCTAAGAAGGAGGCAGCTTGCAAATTGCTTCTGTAAAGCCTTGCCAATCTGTATTTTTTAACAAATTCATGTGGGGAATCCAATACTCTTTTAATTTTTCTACGTTTTCCCCCAAAAGAGAAAGTTGATCCCATTTATAGTCCTTGCTTAAGGATGGTCATGTTATTCAGTGACCTCTTTTATTTCTCATGTACGTGGTCTTCACTACATCTTTGCAAGATACCATCTTCCCTGGAGCTTCATATCAACTCTGCATTTTCTTTCTGTTAACCAAATTTACTTTTCACTTCCTTCAGACCTTCTGAACTAACAGACAATGTTGAAATCCCGACCCATCACCCGAGTAATTAAAATAGATAGAAATCTCTGTGCAACGATTTAGCCAGTGTTTTAGGAGATACATACCTGGTCTTGGTTTATTGCAGAAAGTAGTCAGAGGTGAATCTAGTGGTTAGTGCTTGGAAGGGGAAACCTCCACTGAAGGCTAGACATTATGGTATACTGGGAAATAAACATACTCACATATACTGTATGTACAAAAGAGTATATTATAAATCAGTTTTAGATTGTTACTATGGTTACATCCATATAAAGATCTCAGAAATTGAACACAACTCAAAGGCTTGACTTTTGCAATTAATTTTCTCTGATTAGAGCCATGTAGAACAACTCTCTCATTCTCTGCTAATGCAGAATGCAAGAGATTGAAAGCTCCTACCAGAAAGAAAAAATGATTATGTTGGCTACCTATTTCTTGGTGCAGTCTTCTCTTTCAAATGCCCTTGCTTGCTCTGTGTCCTTTTAAAAGAGATATCTCTAAGCTCATTCAAAGTTCATTTTGTTAATGTTTCCCCATTATCCACTTTCCTTAAGTTAACTCCTCCTCCATTAACAGTTGAAAGTACCCTCTCAATACACTGCTCTGAATATATTTAATTACCTGCATTGATTGGGACTTTCTGTCTAAACCTAGCTGCAAGCAGTAGCACATTGAAAAATGGCAGCTGGCAGCCTCAAGCAGTACTCTGTATTAGATTGAAGCCAACAGGATGTCATCTCCCTCAAGCTGTTAGGATGGAGCTGTCTGCATTGACTTTATCTAATGCCTTTGTTGCTTTGGAACAATTTGGGTGCCACTCACAGTTGTCCTTTCTAAACAAACCAGAGCCTTATCCTAACTTTTACCTTCAGTTCCATCATTGACCTGTATTTAGCTCCATGGGCTGATCCATTTGTTCCTGCTCCATCCATGCTGGGACCTTTTGTGATGTTGAAAAGCCAGTTTCTTTGTCTCTCTCTCTCCCTTAAGCTGACTGAGTTCCATAGCTCAATAATTCCTTGATATTTTGGATTTCTAGGAGAAGATCTCCATCCTTTAAGGATGGGCTTGCTATATTTCTTTGATGTATGGAGGAGAAGGATTAAAGTTGCCATCATGGTAGTTAAAGGAAGATTCCATGTCTAGCAATATATTGGATTATTCATCACCCATTCTCGGGTTTTAAACATCAGTGAAAATTCAGCATATTCCTGCTTCTACAGGAAATTCCAGGCAGCTGCTTGGAAATGGAATATTGTGCCAGGCAAAATATCTTAAAGAAATGTTTTACATTTTTGGCTATGTTAGAATATATCCATATTTCAGAGTTCAATTTCAATTGTTTACTCTATTGTATAGTAATGTAACATTTATGGGAATCAGAAGTGTATAGAAGATAGGATCTATGTCACAACAGAGAAAGATTTCTGGCTAGGCAAGATACATTGCTCAAAGAAGCATTTTTGAAGTGCTGCAACCTGCCTTCTTGAAGTTGTTTATTTTATTGATTTCATATACTTGTAAACCAATTACATTCTGCAGATTTAGAGAAGTCGGAAGAAAGTGAATTATTTAGATCCCTTTCAAGACTGTTTCCTACCTGAGTAGAAGACCAAATGGGTGGGTGTAGCATGTCCATCCTTGGTCTTCTTGACTCTCAGAAGCCTTTGATTCCATCAACCATGGTGACTTTCTGTACTGACTTTGGGGGTTGGGAATGAACAGCCTTATGCTGGGTCTCCTCCTTCACCCAGAGTCAGTTCTAGTCAGTGTTGATGGGGTAGGGCTTTGCAGGGTCCCTCAGAACTTCGCGCTCCCCCCCTCCAATTTAACATCTACAAGAAACTGCTGTCTATGGTTTCATCTCAGTGTCTAGAGATTGTAGGTTGGAAGGGAAAAAAACAGGCTTTAGCTCAACCCTAGCAAGACTAAGTGGTTGCATTGTCCTAAGCAGAACTGATGTGAAATCTGAGGATTCTTCTGGACTTGCAGCTCCTGTTCAGTAATCAGGTGTTCATCTTATACATCGGCTGTTCCCTTTTCTGGATCAGGAGGATCTGCTTACAGTGACTCACACCTTAGTCACCTGCTGGGTGGATTACTGCAATGCACTGTACATGGGGCTTCATTTGAAAAACATCTGGAAGCTATAGCTGCTGCCAAATGCAGTAATGCAGGCAGTTATGAATGTATTTTAAGGTGCACATCTTACTCTTCTGTCAATAAGGTGCCTTGGTTGGAGATGTGCTTCCAGATGCAATTCAAGATGCTGATGCCCAACTAGAAAGCTGTTCATGGCATAGGACCAAGCTACTTGTTCCAATTTGTTTCTACCCATCCTATTACATTCAGCAGAAGAGGCATTCTGTGGGTCCCATCAGTCAAAGAATGTAATCAAGAAGCAGGTTTTTTGGTTGCTATCACTGTCTTATGGAATACAGTTCCTTCTGAAGAGTAGATTGGCCTAATCCTTTTAGCTTTTGGAAGGCCCCTAAGGCTTGGTTATGGACCAGGCATGGGGGTGAGAGTGCTAAGTGAGAGTTTGATGTACTGTTTTGGTGATTGGTTTGGTTTCTCAGCTGTTGTGTATGTTGCTGCATTTTACACTGTTATAAACTGGGTGGCTTTATCAATAAACTGAGACATGAATAAATTCAAAAGCAGTATATTTAAAATAACGTTTGCCCATTTTGTACAAACATAAAAGCCTAAGAAGAAGTTTTTTCATGGGACCCATTGCATTAGCATTAGAATTATAAATTTTAACAAGCGCTAAATGTTTTCAGTCAGCAGGCTTCAACTTGTCTCCCAGGAAATAAGAAGCAAGCTTTCTTGTACCATGTCTGGTTATCATAGTCCATCTCCCTCACTTATTTCAGCTTGGAGTTTTCTTAAATCTACTTGGAGCTGCTGCAGATGGAATTTAGGATCTTTTCTTTTTCATCTAAAGCAGGGGTGTCAAACTCGTGGTCCATGGGCCAGATGCGTCATGCGCTGGCCACGCCCACCCGTTTTAACGAAGGGGGGAAAGTTGTGATATGTCACATGATGACAATGTTTTGTCATGAGTTTTACACCCCTGATGTAAAGCATGTGCTTTCTAGATGATACCCAGCTGCTTTGATCAGAAACTTTCTTTGTTATAACAGTCAGAGATGAGTTGGGTTCTATCACAAGAAAGCATCTTTTTTTTTTACTTCATTTACAGATTTTTTTTAATGCATGGCTTACCCTTTGAAGAGATTCATATAAGGAGACACACTTCAAGTATTCTGGTATCAAAATGTTTAGGGTTAGGAGGACAATCGTAATTGAGTTCATATATTGCACAAAGCAATGGTTTCCCTTAGCCAGAGTTTATTGAATAAGCCACAATTAGCTTGGTTCACAGATTTTGAAACTCAGCTTCCGCAAAATGCATCTTGTTAATCCAATGAGGAAATTTCTTTATAATAATAATATGTCTATATAATAGCAAAGAATTAGGGATGTGGTGGCTCAGTGGCTAAGACACCGAGCTTGTTGATCGGAAAGTTTGGCAGTTCAGTGGTTTGAATCCCTAGCGCCACCTAATGGGGTGAGCTCCCATTACTTGTTCCAGCTTCTGCCAACCTAGCGGTTCGAAGGTATGTAAAAAATGCAAGTAGAAAAATAGGGACCACCTTTGGTGGGAAGGTAACAGCGTTCTGTGTACCTTCGGCGCTTAGTCATGCCGGCCACATGACTACGGAGATGTCTTCGGACAGCGCTGGCTCTTTGGCTTTCAAATGGAGATGAGCACCGCCCCCTGGAGTTGGGAACGACTAGCACATATGTGCGAGGGGAATCTTTGCCTTTACCTTATAATAGNGGAACGACTAGCACATATGTGCGAGGGGAATCTTTGCCTTTACCTTATAATAGCAAAGTAGCTATGAATACTAGAGTTTTATATAATATTTAAATTTAATTTAAAAAATACTAATTTGAAAGTAACGGAAATCTGTTTTGTTCTATTTTGCTTCATTCTGCAGGACCTGATGACTGAAGTAATTGGTTCTGCTCACTTCCATGCAAACCTTTCCTTGAACATGAGCAGCGTGAGGGGGTATCACACGTTCCTTGCCTTCTGCCTTATTCTACTCAACTTTGGCAGCCTGAAATGCCTTGTTTTAAGACAAGGGGACGAAAGGTATGAAAGGCAACTGCAACTGGCATCACCAGCAGGGAACAATTTAACAGACACAAATGCATCAAATCCGGAGGGTAACGTAAGCTCATCCATGAATATAGCCAGCACTTCTGCATCTGAAAACCTTTATGGAGCCCCAGTAGATCCATCCAGGAGGTCATTAAACAGAGCCACAACTGTAAAAACAACCTTACCAACTATTCTGCATGTTCACAATCCCTTGGAGCACTTGGATACGGATGCTTTTGCAAGCACAGATCTGAAGATTGCTGCAGAAAGCGAAAGGCAAATCCGTCTCAATGGACCCAATGAAAAACTGGATAAATATGGGACACAGGAAGCTTTAATTGCCGCTGTTGTGACAATTCCAGATCTTCTTGTGGACGATGATACACTTAGCTCTGCAAGAGAAACAGTGGAGGGAGGTGGGGGAGAAAGAAAACTTGATGGAGATCAGTTTACAACGGGCAGTCTGGAGGAAGGTGCCCATGTTGACCCTTCAGACAATCCCCAGGTAACTATCCCCAAAGTAATAATTAGTTTTCCTGCTACAACGTCATCCAGCAACTTCTTCAAGAATCCATTTCTTCCAACCAGCCCACCAGTTGATTTGACAAAAGGATCTGATGGAAACAGCTTCCCAACAATCTGGATGGGCACAGATGCGGCTACAGAGCCAGGGTTGTTGCCTACAGATGCCTCTTTAAATTTGGAAGTGGAAAACTCAGAGAACCAAGGGCCCTTGAAAGGCATCTTAAGCACCACCACCATGGCCACTGCGGGCTTGCTGCTAAGTGATGAGTGGGATGATACCAAATTAGAGCCTTCCAGCCAGGCAAAAGCTATGCATCCTCTGAAGATAAACCAGCCTCAGATAGCGCAACCAACAGGACAGGAGGACGATGATGATGATGATGTAAAAAAGGACCCGTCACCAAGATTAAGGGTAACCACGACAAAAGGGAGCAAAGATAATCAGAATGGGTCAGGCCAGATACCCATGCAGGTAGAGGAATCAGCCAGTACAAGCTTGAATCTTGATCACACCATTGATCCATCTGAGAAGGTTGGAGCCCAATCTGAAAGTCCAGGGGAAAACGTAGATCCAACAGTGCTCACCAGGTCTAGATTGTTTCCTGAGACTATAACGACAACCGATGCAACCAAATCAGACGTCTTCCAAACCTTAAGACACCAGTTAAGAGGTAATTCCCCCCACCAGCACTATTTGCACTCGTCGGTGCTTCTTGTTTTAAGATAACTTAAGACTATGGGCCACTGTTCGGTTTATGGTGTATACTGAAGTGATGCTATACATGATCCTTCCTTTTTTCAGGTTCCTTGTCTACCTAAAATATTCAGCAGGGATTTAATTTATAACAGCCCAGTTTTTTTAATAATATCTTTTCCCTTTTCAGATGGGTTGTTGAGAGATTGCTTAGGCTCCTTTCTTCCTGCTCCTAATAAGCTTTTCCCCCAGGCTCCCAAATGCAGACAAAGCAGAGTCTTGGAGTAGCTCAGAATGATTCATAAATTCACCCTGACCCCCATTGCCCTTTGGATTATTAGGCTTTCTTTCAGTGGTAGGATTCAAATTATTTTACTACTAGTTCTGTGGGAGTGGCTTTGTAAGCGTGGCTTTGTGGGCGTGGCAGGGGAAGGATACTGCAAAATCCCCATTCCCTCCCCATCCCATTAACCTGCTCCATTCCCCTGTGCAGGGCAACAAAAGAAGATCAGCTGGCAGGCAGCAGGGCCAGGGCCAGCCTATTTGCCGGTTCTCCGAACTACTCAAAATTTCCACTACTGGTTCTCCAGAACCTGTCAAAACTGGCTGAATACCACCTCTGCTTTCTTTGGTCACTCATATGATCCATTCTTGATTGAGCTTGATAGCAATAGCACTTAGACTTATATACCCCTTCACAGTGCTTTTACAGCCCTCTCTAAGCGGTTTAGAGTCAGAAAATTGCCCCCAACCATCTGGGTCCTTATTTTATCGACCTCGGAAGGATGGAAGGCTGAGTCAACCTGAATGTCAACCTGGTGACATTCGATCTGCCAAGTTGCAGGTAGCGGGCAGTCAGCAGAAGTAACCTGCAGTACTACATTCTAACCACTGCACCACCACGCCTCAGTATAGGCCAAATCTGTTAAGTTACATTCCAGAAGGCCTCTCTTCCCCTTCGCTATACTTCTCTATTCTAACCTATGGCAATGCAACATCAGTACCTTAGCTTTTCTTAACCTAATGCCCTCCAGTTGCTGTGAGATTGCATCCCCACCCCCACCCCCCAAATTCCTAGCCAGACCCCAAATTGGAGAGGATGATTTTGATGACCTTCTCACAATGAGAAGGTATGTATGCACTGTATATACAGGTGATTCTCGACATACGACGTCTGGTCACTTAGCAACCATTTAAAGTTACAGTGGACTTAAAAAGGGGGACTTGCAACCCAGATCTGACGTTCTGACAGCCACCTATCCCACGGTCATGTGACTGGACTTCGGAGCTTGGCAACACAGCTGAATTTGCAGCCATTTGCCACGCTCCCTGGTAACGTACCTGTGTTTTCCAAAGATTTTGTCCAAAACTGACACTTTGAGATTTTGGCAAAAGCCACACAATAGGGAATAATGGGTTTGCTTAACGACCATGGCATTGGCTTAATGACCATTGCAAAAAGGATCGTAAAATCAAGTTGGTCACGTAACCAATCCATTTTGTGACCATTACAACTTATGACTATAATGGCCAGGCTTCAGTACGCTCATAACATGAGGACCACTGTAGACTACCTAAGCTATGATAAAATAAACACACATAAAAAAGGGGGATAAATATTTTTTATATTTCTATTACCTAAAGCTGGGGGCTTAGAAATGGAATAGATAGTCCTCTACTTACAGCCATTCATTTCGTGACTGTTCAAAGTTACAACAGCACTGAAAAAAAGTCACATGAACATTTTTCATACTTGTGACTGTCGGAACATCCCCATGGTCATGTGATCAAAACCGAGAGGCTTGGCAACTGACTCATACAGTTGCAGTGTCCCGGGGTCACGTGATCCCTTTTGCAACTTTCTGGCGAGCAAAGTCAGTGGGGAAGCCAGTGTCAGGGTTCTAAATAGCATCCAAAATAAGACAAGAATCCGAGGCGAGAGATTCCTCAAAGTTCCAATTTATTAAGAGAGCCATGTTGGCACATTTGGGAAAACCCGAATCTGAAAACTTCCAGGTTTTCTCACCCAGTTGAAAGTTCAAGATCCTACCCCAACACCCACAAGTTCATCACATGGACCAATCTTTCACTGCCACGAAGATAGATTCCTCCCATCCAGATCCGGCCGGGTGCAGGGACAAAATCGACCTTGACTTTCAGAGAAGAATGTTATTATGGCTACACCTCACCCAACTCCACATAATTCCCCCTCCCAGTTTCCCACGATAGAAAGTGTAGCAGGCCTGAAGTCCAAAAAGAAACGATAGCTTGCAGGTCTGACAGCCAGATTCAGATTTACTTAACAACGGTGTCACTAACTTACCGATTGCAGTGATTCGCTCAACAGCTGTGGCAAGAGAGGTCGTAAATTGGGGCAAAATTCACTTAACAACTGTCTCATTTAGCAACAGAAAATTTGGGCTCAATTGTGGTTGTAAGTTGAGGATTACCTGTACTGTATTATTGTACGTATATGCTGAGTTTGGCAAGTCCCAGGATTCTGTCTGACTCAATGCTTAGTTTTCCTTGTTGATCATAATTCCTTAAAATGCAAGTTAAAATCATTCATTTGTTATTGCCTATTGCTGTCTCTTGTTTGCCTAAGGAGCCTCCGCTGTTCCCCGGCAAGAGGAATTCTGTGCTTTGACTCAATGCTGCACTTCCTTTAGTTCCATCTAATTAAGACCCTGCATAGATAGGAACATTGGTTTTATTTTTCTTTAGACGAACTTCTTTTGTTTTATTTCTTTATATACTTCTTTGCAGGGGTGGGGGAAACTATCCCTGGACTTCCTGTGACTCCAATTATTTTTTCTTCATCCAAATTAAGTTTTATGGCTTTCTTCGAAACTGCTCTTTCTGACACAAAGCCTCCAGATGCAACTTCCATCATTCCCAACCAATCCAATAACCCAGTATTTCTGGAAGGAACCCGAAGAGTCTAAGTCCGTGGCACGACAAAACCGCGCTCCACTAAAGCGCGCCCGATTAAACCGCGTCGCTGAC